CGCGCTGACTTCAGGTTCGCTGATATCAAACAAAGGCGAAAAAAGGCACAGAAGTCGTTTTCGTTTTTCTGGCTACCATGCGGATATCTACACGAGACGCCAACACCTACAGCGCGTTATCGGGACATGCCGAGCGGGCAGAGGACAACTTCGAATGTGCCAAGTTAGTCCCTATACCCTTTCCTGACCTTTACAAGGGTTTTGTAAACATAAATAATAGAAACTCCCATGCAGTCATTCATTCCAGCAATTTAATACGTACAGAAAGATGAAAATCTTAGCTTCTCCGCTGATAATCGATTTCAGCATCCAACCTGCATTTCGGATCGAATTAACTTGTACGGTACTAGACGAATTAACCAGAAAGAAGCGGCGACAGTCACCTCTCTTCACAGCCGTAATCACTCTTGGATTCAGTTCTAACTGGTCCCAGTCCATCGCAGCCCCATTCGCAATTGAAATCAGTGCCACGATTAGTACACAACCTCGGCTAACGCACGCAGCTTGTCTGTCAACAACAACAACACGCACATCACAATTTCCGAAATCGCCCGCCTGCATTCAGGAACCTTAATCTGTTTTCTTTTAGGGGAGACATAAAATAATAATAATATTTTCTAAACAATAAATATCTTAATTAAAGACCGTTGAGGTGATTTATTAAAACGGAATATTATAAATAATAGAGAGTGTATTTTTCTAAATCTAGGCGGTTAGTTATTATGCGGATTTTACATCAAGATTTCACACTCACCCCCGTTGTTTTGCCAAAAGTGAAACATTCTGTCCACCCAAAGTTCAAGGGTCCCTCGCGTAGAAGAGGGGGGAGGGATCAGAACAGAAAGGCTTCGTCCTACTGGCTTTTGTCGCCATCAATCTTTTTCCACCACGGCGGAGCGCCGGACGTGTTGCGATTGGTCGGCGGGGCTGTCAGTCAGCAGGCGTTGCCAGGTGCGGGTGGGGAGGAATACTGTGGCGTTAAAAAAAAATGTCCTCTGTGCCTGACGGCAAGAAGCTGGTCCGGAGTCCGAGCGGGCTTCGTATGGTACCTGAGAATGGGGCCTTCAATAGCCCTTTCGCGTTGGACGAGCCCCAGTGGGTGCCGGATAAAGAGGTGAGGTTGAGGGAGAGAGCTGACGGGGTAGAGGCAGTGGGTCCGGGGCGTTGCGTTTGGCAGCTACGCAGAACGACTTCTCACTGTGCTGGGTGCGTTTTTTGTCTACGTTGTAGCGAACGGGGTGGACAAAAAAAACAAACAACTAAAGCAGCAAAGTAGTTTACAGCCTCGCTTTCCAGTTTCACGTTCAATGCGTCTTTTTTATTGAATTGACCTCGAGTTTAAAGGAATGACGAAACTATGCATGGTATGCAAGCGCGGCTGTCATTTCTCTGTGAGCCCGATACGCACTCATGTTATTGTTGTGCTTCAGCTCTCATCCTCGTAGCGTAGCGGCGATTTTAATATAATTTGTGCAAATAGATTTAAGATTTTAAGAGCTTTCCTTTTATTATACAGTACGTACACGCTGACACTTGGTAATACCCTACACCTCTGCTGATTGTGTCCAGTGTGTCCAGCACTCAACTCAGCCCGGATGAAGAATAATTTAATAACGCAGTTCACGTTGCGGGGTTATGCAACAGCAGCTAAAATTTAAAATGGACAGCAGATTTGTAGTATTAATCGGCTAGTTTGCTTCTGTATTCGCAAACTGGATCTGAAGTTTGTTGCAGGTAGCTCGACGCAAATGGGACGCAATTTAGTTTTAGCGGCATGTGAGATGCGGTCTTCAAACATGTTTTCTTACTTTTCCTAACATCTGGCCGTTTTGTGTTGATGGGAAACATGCACAAAAGAATATAGATCATTTAATCTTCACTGTTTTATCTGGCACGTAGTAAACCCTAAGTCCTTGAAAATCTGTTTCTGTGAGAATCATCTGTAAGTAAGAGATGAATAGATGAGTCCTTGGATATAGTTTCTTTTTTTGTTTTGCCAAAATTGTAATGAAAGTATGCGATGACGATGACATAAATCACAAGGCCAAGAAGGCTTCTGTTCTCCAAAGAGAGCTGGTAGATGTATCCTTGCTGCACTCGGCCAATGGACAGGTGATAGTCTGTACAGTAGTATAATTCTGAGCCACATTAGTTTATGAAAATAGAAACCTTTTTATCTGTTCATGATTTTGTCTGCTGCGTTTTCCATGCCGTTTGAGTATAAGAGGCTTTTGTCAATTGTGTGCTGCAAGATACAACGTATAATCCCAGCTGGTGTTCTGTAATGAAAGGTATTAGAGTCCTGGACATAGCAGGGTCTACTCTTTTTGTAAGTATCCTAATCTCCGTCGCAGACTGCACTACAACTGCACCAGCATCTGACTCTGCTGGCTTAAGAGATTGAACTGCTGTCTGTTTAAGGCAGGTGGAGGTGGTCTGTCTTGTCAGGGAGCTGGAGATTATTAAGATAACCCGAGAGACACAAACGAGAACAAGCAATGGGGAAACTTGTGTACCATGTCATGGTCATTTATAGGAGATGCTGTTTACCAGGATGTCGTTCTTAAGACTCATAAATGAAGTTTCGGCATCTAGTTTATTAAGGTCTGTAAGTGTGAGGTGTTTCTTGGACTGCAGTGTTGCTCAGTTTCCTCTGCAGAGCCAGAGTTGCATCAGATCATGTGCCTGACCGAAGAGTAAATGTTTACCTTCTTGAGTTTCTGGGCTGCTGGATGAGCCCTTCTTTGCTGTCATAGTCAAATAAGTTGCACTTTGGATAGAAAGCTGTATTGAAGACAAGGGAAGGGAGTGCACAAACTGTCCCTGCTCAGGACAAACATTTACCTGTAGCACATTATGACTTCCCTGGCGAATACTGGGCTGTGGTTTTTATTTTAAACAGCGTCACCATGTAGCCTCCTGTGCAGATTATTTGTTAATATATGAAGAGAGCTCTGACTCAGTTTTTCTCCAGTGATGAGGCAGCGAGCTGTAAACACCCTTGTTTTTCTCGTCGAATGTGCCGTTTGTGCTGAATTCCTGCCATGTGATGACAGGAAGCAAGAATCCTGCCAGCTTTGCACAGCCTCAGAGGGGATTGTGGAGAAGTCACATGGTGTGCAACCCTCCATATGTCTCTGTGGGTGCTGTGCCTGGATCTGTGAAGCCCTGCAGTTTATCCAGAGACCAGTCAGTCACACACAGGCTCCGGGCACTTGTGCTGAAAGTACCACAGGGCCCTTTTCCAGAGTTTTCCATGGATGTTTGATGATCTAGTCTTGGTATTGGAATACCAAGGAATAGGATGTTTTCTATACTTCCTAGTGTCCTAGTTCTGAGAGTTATTGAATATGTTAATTGCTGGTGCATAACAAATCATTCTCACAGTCAGCTTAGGTCCCAGATACATTTGAGTGTTTTAGAAGTAGCCCTGGTAATGGGAAGAGTCTGTAAGTGAATTATTAAGAGCTGTTTGGGGTAAGCATCCCTGTGGCACCGGGCTTCGGAAGATGACAAAAGTGGTAGCTTTGCACACGTTTGATCAGGCACGCTCATTTCTTTTAGACCAGTAAGACACAAGCATGAATGAGTCAGTCAGTTTACTGAATTAAATCACCATGGGGCTCACTAGCTTCTGCCTGATGAAACCACCTTGTGTTTTTATCTAAAAACCTTAATGTACTGCTAGCACTGTGCTAACAGTTTTGTGCCTCAGGCCCTTTAATGTCGAATGAATGTAGACGTAAGACGTTCAGCCCATCCAACACATTTAGGAACTTGTTGGACACATGTACTGTTTAAGGTGAGAAATGTATCTAATGGAAATAGGGACCACAAATTTGATTTTCGAAGTGGTTTTTGCATCATTAGTAGGCTTATTTGTGTAAGGTTAGAGGATTCATACAGAGTCATAATGCATTGTGTTGTTTTTTTATATAAAGTGAATCAAAGGAGTATTCTGTACCAGAGTTTGATTCAGATGTGAATATTGCAAGAAATCTAGTTCCAGATGTCTGTTTCTTTGTGTAGCAATGTTGCATGCTGTTTAAGCTGCCAGGCTCTCTAAATGTCGGTTTTCAATTTAAGTGCCACAAGTTCTATATGTGTAGTATGGTTGTTTTACAGTTATGCCACCACTCTTCGTATTATAGGGCTCTTCAGCTACCAGCATGCAGCCTTGTGTCAGCCATAATGAATCTCCTTTCCCTTCAGTGCCCAAGATGTATGCAGTGTGATGCCAAGTTCGATTTTCTCACGAGAAAGGTAAGACAGTCGGCAAAGCCATTTCGCTTATCTCATATCCCTTCAAAACGAACACGGCAAGTGCTGTTCTTTTCTAAAAATGGAGGTGAAGCATTGAAACTAACAGGAAGAGGTCAATTGCATATCCAGAGTAAAAAGAAAGACAAAAAGTGTTTTTCTTTTACTTTTCAGTGTGGAGAGTAAATGAAGCTGAAGCTCGCTGATGCTGCTGTCTACTGTTAACACTAAAATAAGTGTGTAAACCCTCATATCCTCCTGTAGGACCACAACTCTGATACTGTCCGCAGCAGTGTTGAACTTCATTTGCATTTCATTCCTCTCCTTCCTGTTTTCTGCTGGAGAGAGAACTGGATACAGCTTTTGTTTAAAGAGATAGTTACTGGGCTGCAGAAAATTCTAATGTTATGCATCGTTTCATGCAGCAAAAGCCGTTAATGTTCCTGTAGTTTTGCCTTTATATTGTTTTTAAATCCCAGTGAGTTTCTAAACTCTAAACCCCGTTGCTGTTGCATTCAAGATGTCAGCTGGTAGTTGCGCAGGATTATGTCATCAAATCGGTCGTCTGTCTGGCATCGCAGCCAGTGAAATGCCAGCTGCAGGCTGCTCCATTGTATCTGGGTTTGATGAAGGGCATTTCTATAGCCGTTGCGCTGACATCAGACACAGCTCCAATGCAGGCTGGCACCTCGAAAGTGAGTGCTTTGAAAGAAACAATGAAAAGTAACATTGCAGGGATCTTATTGTTTCAGCTGCAACGTGATGCTTAGACCGACCACACCTGGTAGGAAAAGCAGTAATGGTGCCTGCTCTGTCAGTCAGGGGCTGTCTGGGTCTCCCCGGACCTGCACGCCTGCAGAGGCCCGGGCCTGGCTGGTCCTGTGCTGTGCTGGTCGGCGCTCAGCCCGTGTCTCTCTGTGCGCAGCACCACTGCCGGAGGTGTGGGAAGTGCTTCTGTGACAAGTGCTGCAGCAGGAAGGTGTCTCTGCCGCGGATGTGTTTCGTCGACCCTGTGCGGCAGTGTGCGGAGTGCAGCCTCGTCTCGCAGAAGGAGATGGAGTTCTATGACAAGCAGCTTAAAGTGCTGATGAACGGTGAGGTGGGAGGGCTTCCTCCCGGCTGCAGGCAAGCTGCATGCTGAACTCCAGGGGCTGTCCGTCCACCTTTTCAGGTGCTGGCGTCTTCATGGACTGTCAAGCCTGCACTTCTCCAAACTGTTACCTTTCTTCTCTGGTTGTTTACGGTCCCTCGATTTTTGCATATCCATTTCCCATATCATGTTTTTGAAGGTGTGTTGTGGAATCCAGTTGACTAAGGCTCTTCAGGAACAAATTCACATCACTATGTATCTATACCTGAGCTCACTCAAGTTCACTGACCGCTGTCTTGTCCTTTTTTTTCCTCTATAATGCGAGGTTGGTGACCTCAGGAAAAGCACTAAGTGCTCTGCCGACACTGGGGCATTTCCTTTTCTCCTGTCCTAGTTTCCACTTGCTGGTACAGTGCACACGATGCGCCCCGTGTGTCTGGGAAGATAAAAACAGGCCCTGCCCTCTGGGTTTTCCAGACCAGAGCATCCAGGCTTAATGAAAAATCAATTTAACTTTCCGCTTGGCTGCATGATTTGGTGGACTTTAAAAGTCGTTACCCTGGAGTTGAATGCCTTGGTAAAAAAAAAACCTTTTAAAAGCCCGAGCCTTCGTTAGTGGTGGTGTAGCTGCTCTGTCTGTGATGATGGCTCTTTGTAGTGTAACCCATGGCTTGCTGTAAAAGAATAAATGAGCTTCGGTCACACACCCCCGCATTCCCCCTCTCTCCTTGTGTCTTTCTCTCTCCATCTTCTTCCCTCCGTGCAGCTGTTATTTGGAAACAGCTCTGGAAGTGTGAAGTCAGGCACTGACGCCTCTGCAGCAGGTGAACCCCGCCGTGGAGTGGGTGGGTATCGGCAGGTGTTATAAACTTGTTTTCTCCCTGCGTTTCCGAAGGTGGCACTTTCCTGGTGTCCCTGGGCACATTGGGGAAGTTGGAGACCATGGTGTGCCGGCTCTCTAACAATCACAGGTATCCTTGCAGAAAGTTCTGTGTGCCTCAGGCTAATGTACAATAAGTACGTGTGTTCATTTTCTGTGCAGAAAGCTAATAACCTAAAGACGTTTCCTTTTTGTGATTAATGACAGGAAACGTAATAGTGGATACTGACACGTCTTGGGTATTTCCAGTTTCTCTCCTATAAAGTGTACCTGAAGGTGATCCACAGGACTGCATTATAATTTTTAGATGGAGGTTTACTGCCAACGATAAAACTTTTATAAACTGCTCTGCGAAGGTGAAAAAAAATAGCACCTTTCTGATTTCTGATGTTGTAGCAGAATTACAAAAATGACAGCAAGAGCAACGTTTGTCCCTTTTCTGCAATCCAGTTTGCAAAGTTGCTTCTTATGGCGTTCTCACTCCCTCTAGTGGAGGAATTGTACACTGAAACTGAGTGGTCCACAGTTAATGCTCCTTTCAGAGTGTAGTATGAATTATAATTGGTAAAAATGGAGCTAAGTAGAATTATAATTCTAAGCTTTAAATAAATAAATTAAATTAAAAGCTTGGCAGCTGCAGAAGTACGACAAAATAAAATCCTCAGGGAAGTAGGTTAAAGATTACAAGCTACGCATGGAGCAGTAGACTGGAGTTTCTCAGCAGGTCATGTTTACCAGTAAGGCAGAGTACACTAATTGTATTGATTTGTGACTTTATGCCAGCTGCAGGAATCGCAAAATAATTCTTTGTTCTGTTCCTGCCACTGGGGAACGATCTGAATATTTGAACTTGTTCTATTTTGTTAGTATCTTGCCGTGTCAGGGTAAACTTTGTTGGCTGAAATGTAGGTTAAAGATAGTAGGAAATTTAGGCTTAATCGTTCTTGCTGGCAGAAACAAACCAGACCATCCAGAAACTCCCTGTGACAACCATGCAAAATTATAAATTTCTTAGAACTTCTATTCTCATTTTAATAATTTAAAAGTTGTTATTAGAGCCTCAGCTTTGACAGTAAAGGTTGTCCCTGAGTGCATCTGTTTCAGAACACCTTGGCACCATGGATACAAGTGGTTTGTGAGCTACACTGATGCTGGGGATTCTTCCTAAATGTTCTGGTGTTTAGCACCCTTGTTCCGTTTTCCTGCCAGGTATCTCTTCCTGGATGGGGAAAGCCACTTTGAAGTGGAGCTGTCCCGAATCTCTAGCATACAGATGTTGACAGAGGGCTTTACACCTGGAGGTGAGCCTGTAATGTTTGCTCATATTAAGCACTATGAAGGAAGACTGCTGGTATGAATGAAAGTGCTTTACCTGAGGTCTGATTTGTAGTACTAACAAACTGGTTCTTCTGGCACCACACAAACCCTCTGTCCTACGGAGGGCAGCAGCAAAACATCGCTGAGAATCTTCTCCTTCGCATGGGATCTGACTGATGGCACCTGTTTCTGTAATGCTGCTGGCCAGGAGGAACCTCTAGCTTGTAAATAACCACATTCAGCTGTCTTTTCCATATTTAACATTGCCTCTCATTCTGGGAATCGAATTCTTCCTAATTGAATGATTGCTCATACAGGACCTGACTAAGTTTGACAAACAGGCATGATTTTGTTTTTGTCTAACCAGGGTACACGGGATATATTTCAAGATTCTTAATAATCACAGACTCGCGGTCTTTCCTTTTTGTACAACTGCATTCATACTACAGAAATTGTTTACTCTCGAGCCCTGCTCGTGGCAGGTCTCCTCGTTCTGTCTCTGTGCAGTGGTCAGCCTCAGCTGTAGTGCAGTCGATTGGCCATGAATGTCATGGCACAGCAGAAGGTAAACATGTCTGCAGTGTCAAAGGGAAGGAGCTGGCTGGACCTCTTTCAAGATGCATGCCCTGTAATGTCTTTAACCTAACCTTCCTTTTTTACTGTCTTCGGGCTGCCTATCCTGTCGCCTGCCTTCAGAGAAAGACATTCATACTTACACCAGTCTGCTGGAGAGTCAGTATATATCTGAAGGTCAGCTCTGTCTTAATCTTGGAATCTAATCCAAGGGTATCATTCTTAAATCCTTAAGGCCACAGGTTTCTGGCTTTCATCCTACCTTGGTGCACTTAGTTGCTTAATTAATCAGATTTGGTTAATTGGATATATTAAGAATATCCAAGACCTTATGTAGTTAATTTCAAAGGCACATTTGATTCAAAGTGCAGTGACTAGAAAACATTCTGGGACCTGCATAGATATCTTGACGTAATCAATTTAGTTAATTGGGTGCATTTAGTGCTTTAGAGCTGAGGTGGAACATAAGGCAGAAGACACTGTGGCCATCCAGGAATTGAGTGTGACACTTCTGCTCCAATGTTGTCCGCATACTGGTCCCCAGCTCTCCCATCTCATCACCTCTAATGAGATTGCCTTCTGTCTGCTGGAGGATTTCTGCGGTGTGAGTTGTAAAGTGAAGTTAAAGTTGCAAAGAAAGTCAACTGAGAGAATTCCTACTGACATTTTGTAGCCTCGGGGTGACCTGCTCCCTACTCAGCTGAATCTCAATTACTGCTTTCCCATTAAAACTTCATTAGTATGGAATGATTTTTCCTTCCCAACAAAAATAATTCTACAATGGAAATAACAGTCATTAGTCCCTTTTTTGATTTCCGATATAATTTAACTAACTCATCCTAATGCACTTAATTGATTGGTACGTGTAGATTTGTATAGATCGGTACGTATAGACGTGTAGATCTGCTTCTCAACACAGGAACTGATATGTTCCATTTTTATTTATTTTTCCCCATGCCATGTATTGGGTCTCTTTTGTCAATCTTATCTAATTAAAATTGATTTAATTTAGATTGGTATTCTGACCCCACTGGAAAAAAAAAGGAGAGCTTATTTATCATGCAGAGAAATACACACAAAACATTTACATTTGCACTGTGTAACTTGTTTTGCCCATCTGTTTCTCAGTTCTAATTTAAAGTAGGTGGCGTCCTCTCACTCAAACTGATCATTGCATAGCAATGTTTATGCTAGGCCAGCAGAATTGGATGACTACTGACCCCTTGAAACCTTGAGGCTAATTCTAATGACGTATTTTCACCGGGCACAGTTTCTGTTCCTCTCTGTTCCCAATTAGTCCTTATGGCTTTGGCAATCTCATTAAATGAACTAGTGCATGACCCCTTGCCTGTGGTGTGTCATGTTTTGTGCACCCTGAAGGTATTAGGCTGCATTATTTTGAGTGAACTGCATGTATTGTGTACGAACTCTGTTCTATGTGCTTTAAGCCATAGTTTAAAAACCTCAAGATTGAATGATCGGTGGACGGAGTTCTAATGAAATAAGAAATTTGTACCAGACGTTAATGAACATGAAAGGCCTATTTGTGTGCAGCTGTGTATGAAAGTGGGCATTTCCTTCCTTCCACTTCATTTTTGTTCTGCTTGGTGTGCTAACTCCAAAATATATTGCCCGTAAAACGCTTGAAAGGCTTTGTTGAGAATATGAAAAGAAATTTGCTGGCAGACTTAGCAGTACCTCTTTCACCCAGTAGAGTGCTTCTGAGTGACAGTTCTATCCTTGGTCAAACTCCATATTGTCCAGAGTTCATTCAGACCCTCCGACGCTGTCCTAGGGATTTGTTTGTGTTTTGATGTCTGTTAAACTGTTCAACTTGGTTCACACCACTGATGTGTTAAAAGAACTCTGGTAGGACCAGCCCCTCTCAAATTCTGATATCTGAAAGATGGTACAAGTCCCTTTTTAGGCAGTGGCGTGATCTGCAAAGGCTGTATGTAGCTGAATTTCATCAATGTCTGTGCTCAGCCTGGATTCTAAGCCCCAGTGTGTGTTGTGTGTAGGGGGAAACTCCAGGGCTGCTGGCATGATGCTCCAGTATAAATCCGTGGGCTCACAGGAGCTACAGCAGCTGCGGGTGGAGGTCGCAGATGACAAGAAGACTGCCTCCATGTGGCTGGCGGCCATGCACAAGGTACCAGAGGAGCAGCTTGCTGCCTGACCCCTGACCCCTGACCCCTGCTCAGGAGCTCAGTGTGGTGGTTCCTTAGTGTTTCCATCTTCTACGTTTTAACACAGAATCCTTCACTTTTTCCTGTTACTTTGTATAGTCAGAACAGCTGCAACCAAATCATTCACAACTGAGAAACAAGTGAGATTTTTTTTTATAATTGGAGATCAGACAATTACTTGAGTGAGAAGAGTGGTTGTGGAAGGCCGACACAAAAAAAATAATTCTGTACCAGATTGTTGTACAGGGTTGGAACGCATCTGATTTTTGAGAGGAAGTGCAGATCTCTGTATGAAATGCTGAAGGAAGCACTTGAGCATGCTTACACTGCTTCCTGACACTTTCGCTTACACAGCCTTTTCATATTCCACTAGAACAGAAGTGAGAGCAGATTCTGTCAGAAGGCACATTCTTTTGTACGTGCACAGAAATGCAAAATCTAACGTGGCTTATGCAAAGTCGTGAAAATTGTATGTTAAGTTTCTTCTTTTGTTTTCTCTCTCCAGGCTGCAAAACTTTTGTATGAATCTCGGGACCAGTGACATGACCGTGTAAAGGAGAGGGAGACAGCCCAAGTATTTCCTAATTTATAGTTTCACTTGTATTTTGAAATGCCTGCATTCTGTATATTCAGCTTTCTGGCCTCAGTTAAGACACGGTGTATTCCTATTTTCAGTGTTCTGGGGCACCACAGGTATTTACTGATTCTAGTGCAATATATACTTGTTTAATAAATGCTTTAAATGTAGTCTCATGCATTCAATTTTGTAAAGATATTTTGTTAAATATATTCCTATTTTAACTAATTGATGTGGCAGTGTAAGTACTTTTTACTGCCAAAGCATTTACTATACTTTTTGTAGCATTTATGTACAATTGTTTTTTCCTACACTAAAGGATGAATTTAATATTCGGTTTTCCAGGGGTTATGCCAGTTCTTCCTTAAATGTAAAGGATTGTATTTTTCTTTAAGAAACAGCCAACTCTGCCAGTAACATTCATATATAGCGTGAGAGTGTGAAATTCACTCTTTTACCTATTTTTTAAAATAAAGAATAGGCACAATGCAATAATACATAAACGCTGATTTCTGTTCATTTGCTGGCTGCCAGCACATATTCATGTTTGTGTGTTAATAGAGAGAGGAATTATTTGGACAGATTAGCTAAAATACATGGTAGTGCTGTTGTCATTACAATACAGGACAACAGTCCTTTTCAGGGAGCCAGGCTTGCAAAGGCAGCTGGACAGTATGACCTAAATCAGCTGTTTTGTTAAAAAAAAACTATGATCATGCTTGTAATGAAAGCTTTGAGGAGAAACACATTATTCTTTATGAGCTAGTCAGAGGAGGTGGGGTGAAAACAGAGCCTGCTACGAGCAGACACTTCTTACACTATTACCTATAGGAAAACGTCATTATAAAAAGTATTATACTGTACTCTACATTGAGGCATGGCATCGGGTCTTTGCCAGTTATGGATGTGTGGCATTTTAATTGTAGTGTATAGGTATGGTTCTTTGTTGATGGTGGGGCCTGTAAGACATCTTGGCACTGCCTGTATTAAATTTTTATTGTGTGTATGTCTTTCTTTAATAAATTCTTGAAATTCTGTATTGGTTTATTTGTGGATCACAAGGTAGGTAAAAACTTGACAAGTTGGTTTCTACAGTACAGGTCCCAACAACACATCTGTCCCCAACAGAAGGCAGATTTGTAACAAGAACTGTAACCTTTTAAAACTATACAAATCAAGTTGTCTCCTCACAGACTTCTGATAAATGATATTTCAGTGCAGCTATTGAGCAGTACTAAAAAAATGACTTTTACATTCTCTACTTTATTTTGAAGGTGTTTTTGAATTGGGTTCCTTTTTTCTTTGCAAGAGTTTGTCTGTCTTCTGTTGGGGATTATCCTTACAAGTTTGTGTTGATGTGCAGAATAGAGAACATTTTTCCTCCATACAGACACATACAGGTATAGTCTTCATGCCACAGCAGTATTTTATTGTGCACATTTACATAACAGGTTGTGTAAGTAGTGTATCTGTACTTACACTACTTGTGTATACAGCTATACAGAAACTGCAGTTCAGTTACATTTTCATACAGCAGATAATAGTCAAACATCATCTATTCTCACCACAGTATTTACAGGAATACTTAGTGGTTAAGCTCTTTACAGCACTGCTTTGGATGGGTAAAAAAATGACAAGACCGTAAAACATGAAAAAGCAAGTCAGAGGATGTTATGTAACAAATTCTGTTGTTTATGGAAAATAACATCTAACTCCTATGGAAAATATCCATGAAAGTCTCTTATATAAAAGCATTTCGATTTTGCAGTTCTTAGTGCTGTGTTCAGCTAACGAAGCTGAAGTTCGTTATTGCATTCACCTCCGGCCATGGCCTACATGAGGAACACAGAGACTGGCCTTCACCAGACATTCCACTTGCTCACAACTTCCGCTTCACAGACGCCTCTCAAGGTCTCTTCGAAGACATGCTCCTACCAAATAAATAAAGACATACAACTGCCACACACACACTTCCCTTCACATTTAATCACCTGCACTGTTCTTCTTCATTTGAAACCCCATTCTTTCAATTCATCAACTTCCCTAAGGTCTATCTAGTCAGTTTTTCTTCAACTCTTTGCGTAGCCAAAGGGCTACATAAGATTAATTGTAATTAAAGCAGCTTGTTTCTTTAACCACACTTCCCAGCTAACCGTGTCAGTAAAACCTTCACTCGTTCTCTCTATCCTGCTTGCAGACACTCCCCTTTATCGCACACTTCACCTTTGACTCCCTAAAAACATCCGATTCACAGCCCCACTCTGCCAAAAAAACAAACTGGGGTCAGTATCCGTGTTCCTATACGAGACTGGCCAGTTTTTTTTAAAAAAAAACCTTAGCTTAAAGAATGAATCTCAGTCTTAAAAAAAGAAAAAAAAAAAGCTGGACACAAAACACTGAGCAGATGGAGAGGAAGTTAAAACCCTTATCCCATCCTTCCTGAAGAGCTTCTCTATCCAGTACGCTTCAAAAAGAGATTGTTCTCTTCAGTGTTGAGGACGACTCCCAGTGTGGCCACCGGCGGCTGTGAGGGGACAGTTCGTTTTTAAAGGGCCCCCAGCGGTCAGGAGAAAAGCACCACTTTGACAGGAGATGGCAGCCCCTTCGCACACCTCTCCTCCCGCTCTGTCTGGGGGCGACTTCGGGGTGTCCCTCTCCAGGTCCAGTTAATCCCCAGGACGGGTGCAAGTGATGCCCACGCGGGTGTTACGCTAGGGAACGCTGTCTTGGCTTTATTCTGGGATAGAGCTGCAAAAAACAGGAAAAAAAAGGACATGACAGATGAGAGCTGCAGGACTTTAAGCTGCCATTTCCCCCACCCAACAGCAGGGGCCAGTGTCCAGCCAGGTATAAAGTGAGGAAATCGTACTCCTTAATGTGTTTTTGTAAGGGAGACTGCATTGCCCTTAAGCTTGACTTTCCCAAAGTGAACTCTTAAAAGCGGTAATGGATATGGTTAGGCCCTCTAGCTGTTATCACTGCAAGTCTGTATCCTTTTAAAGTATTAATTTCACTTGTATGTCTTTCAGCCACAGGCTTTTCAACAGATTTGTGTAAGTGCTATGTAGTGAGAGTGCGTCCAGATCATGTAAGACTGAAGGAGTTACACTATTAATGTACTTTACAGGGATACTCTTTATTGTGATCCTTAATTGAGGCACATAACAAAAGGCAAATTAAATATCTGCAAACAGAATGCTGGAACTGAAATGAGTTCATTCTCCTGGTGTGCATTAGCATTAAACAGGAAAATGTCACTTTTCTTACCTGTAGATCTTCTTGGTTACAGAACAAAACCTTGACCCAGTTTTACTGCCAAGGAAAAGAGGCAACCGCAGAGGCAGCTCCTCCAGGGGTCTCAGTCCTACATGTGCATGTATGTACCACATAACCACATACACACCTGGATAAACTGACCAGATCACACCCCTGCCGAGTGGAGTCGGTAGACGTGCAAGGTTGTTGTGAAAATGAGTGCAACCACTGTTCACTATCTAATCCTTAAAAGAGCGAGAGAGTGCGCCCTGCTGGCTGCTGGGCGCGGCGGCGCTCACCCCGAGCAGGTTGCGGGGCACGTAGCCCTCTTTGTCGTTGAGCCGGCCCCACCACCACGCGGTCTCGCTGTCGTCTTTCCGCCGCAGGATGGCGACGGCGTCGCCTTCGCGGAAGGAGAGCTCATCGCTGTTCTGGGCCTCGTAATCCCACAGGGCGTACACGGTGCCCTTATTCATCACGCCCAGCTTCTCCTGGACCCCTGAGAGAGAGAGAGAGAGAGGCAGAGCGACGCCAGTTAACCCCGAGCGAGAGAGGGGGCGAGACCAAGGAAGTTTTGTGCAGCAACAGAGGCCGGGCGTCCATCTGACCAGCTGCTCAAGCCCCCCCGCTCGCCTCCGTCTGCCCCGCTGTCTGTCCACTCCCCAGTTAGACTCACCATAGAGGAACTGGGAGCACTGGATATAGCCCTCCTCCATCTCCTCGCACTTGTCGGCGGCGGTCTCCACGTCGCTGATGGTGGTGGCGAAGATGGCAGCGCCCGACTCCACCAGCAGCTTGCAGAGGTGAACGCTGTTACAGGAGGCCGCGCAGTGCAGGGGCGTCCTGGGCGAGACAGCACTCGTGTTACAATGCCATCACCCAGCCCTTGCACAGCCACATTAAAATGAGCACGTGTAAATACGAAGTGGAATTGCTGGCTTTCCCATTGACGTCTGTGACAAAGTCCTAACCTTCTAAGCATCTGTGTCTGGCCCTGCACAATGCACCAGTCCATGGTTAAAAGATAGCTGTGTGGGTAACTCACAGCATACAGGTCACGAACGTGAGGGGGCCCTTCAGACGGGCTGACAGTAAGTGAGACTTGCTCTGTCAAGACAAGAGTTGTATTGTGTGCCAATACTCTCAGTCAAAGTGGAAATAAACATCTGCAAACGGAGAATACTGGAATTGTAATGATTTCATTCTCCTGGTGATTTTAAAACAAACGCAGGTTATATTAAGACAGGGGTGCAGTATTGAGAATCAAAGAAACTGATTTCCAATCTGACATTATCTAATAAGAAGAGCACGTCTGACAGAGAATGAGACTTCTCATTTTCAGTTTTCGATGTTCTTATTTTTTTCTTTTTAAATTGCTCTTGGTTTTGATGGTTGTTATTGTTAATGTGAACTTTATACAGTTAAGACCGTTTTTTATTAAGTACTTTTAACCTAAAAGGGTACTCCATTCAAAATATGTTATTCATCTCCAGGGGGACAATTTAAGACTGCAATTAACTCCAAGTACAGAGTACAATGCAAGACTTCAAGGGGGGTTCCTATACGAGGTCAAGCAATCCTCTGCAGGGCTCTCACCAGCCATCGCTGTCGGCCGCGTTGACGTTGACGCCGAAGTCGAGGAGGAACTTGACGATGTGGTGGTGCCCGGCGCACACGGCGTTGTGCAGAGGCGTGATGCCCTCGTCGTTGGGGGTGCTGGGGTTCTCCACCTGGGATGACAGCGACCGGGGGTTAGACCAGGGGATCAGGCCTTCATGTCACACCCAGACCCCCGGGGAAAAGAGAGAATCGGCAGGACTGCTTCTCCTTTTTATTCCTGCTCAATTTTTCCCCCTTTATTTGCTGCTTAAAAAAGTCCTGTTTTTCACCTCAGAGGGAAAAAAGGACAGGAAAGAGCTCCTCTGTCCTCTGTGCCTCTTCATGCAGAGCTCATTTACTGTACTCATACGCGGTGTGCAGTACAGTACAGTGACTACAACCACCTTACAGCAAGAGCACTGCTCTGCTACAATAACACCGGAGCTTGATTTGTCTATGGTTAAACAGACGAGGTTTAACATTTTCCAACTTCAGAGACAAGAAGTTACAAGTAAAAGAAAGAAACACGGAAATCAGGTTAACTCAAAACATAACATAAGCCGGACCAGAGTGACCAGGCACGAGAGGCTGCCCTCCACCTGGCACGGCTCTGCCCGCAGGGCTGTACCTCGTAGATGATCCTCTGCACCAGGTCAAACTCCCCCTCCAGGGAGGCGTCCAGCAGGAGAGCCAGCGGGTTGAACTTGACACGGAGCCCGTGGCCGGTTCTCTCCGAGTTGGGCTTCTTCAGGTTGGTGCGTTTCACCTGCAGAGCGTGGAGGAAGGGAGAGGTTGAGGCTGATGCTTGCCTTCAGATTGGAAAACGATTAGCAATGCCGCGCCACGAGCAGCAACAGTGGCTTGGAATCTCAGACAGCTCTAGCCTTCTTCTCAGGAACCCAGGAAGTAAGGATGATGAGACAAATCAGACCGTCAGATCAGCTGGCAATTTTCTCAGGCCATTAAAACCAAAAGACGTGCAAAATTCTCACTGCAAACGGAACTGGATCTCAGTCAGACGTGCAGATACAGACGGGCACACCGCAGACACGCAGGCTCACCGCAGGCTGGGCCGCGGAGGCGGAGGGCTGGGGTGGCGTCCCGGCCTCCTCGGGGCTGCTGGCCTCGGGGATCGGGCTGGGCAAGGTGTCGGCGGGCCGCGGGGGGGCCGCGGGATTGTTGTTGCTGTCCTCCGTGGTCTGGGGCGGGG